AGATATAAAATACAGCGTGACTTATGATTTTTCCCAAGGTTATTTTGCCATACTTGCTGTCAACTGGGGAAGCCACAGTAAATAATGAGTCATATAGCCTCTGAAACTCCTGCACAGCTGAACAGGTAGATTAGAGTTCTTTCTAAGCAATGAGTAAGTAACAAACATAGACAGCTTCACTTTTTTTTTTTTTTTAAAGAGGGGGAAGGGAGGGAGGGAGGGAGGGAGGGAGAGGGAGAGGGAGAGAATTTTTTTAATATTTTTTTTTCAGTTTCGGTGGACACAACATCTTTATTTTATGTGGTGCTGAGGATCGAACCCAGCTCCCCGCACATGCCAGGGCAAGCACATTACGGCTTGAGCCACATCACCAGTCCAGTCAGCTTCTTTTTTAAGACAGTGTTTTATAATAAGTTTTCATTCATTTTTAATTATTACGTGGTACCAACTCCCAATATGAAAAGCAATAATATCAAAAAACAACAGAATGCTTGGGCACAAAGTAAACAAACTCTCAGTCTGTTTACTTCCTGAGAAAACAGCTAGCTGATCTTAAGTTCTAAATGACCCACTACAGAGTCTTTCCATAGTGGTTCTATTAGTTTGTTGTTTTGTTTTTTTAAAAAAACATTTTTAGTTGTTGATGGACTTATTTTATTCATTTATTTATACGCAGTGCTGAGAATAGAACCCAGTGCTTTACACATGTGAGGCAAGCGCTGTACCCCTGAGCCACAATCCTAGCTCTACCCTATCTTAGGAATATAATGATGAGAACTCATGAGAAAATAAATATAAGGATAGGGCTGAAGCTCAGTGGTAGAGTGCTTGCCTAAGCATGTATGTATGAGACACTGGGTTTGATCCTTGGCACCACATAAAACATATAAAAAAATAAAGGTATTGTATCCATGTACAGCTAAAAGTATTTTAAAATACATATATGCATATACATATATTTTTACCTCTCAAATTCTAGATCCTCTTTCCAGAAAAATGTATATACACGTAAGACTTTGCAAACAATTTCAATAAGTTCACAGATGCTCTCAAACTCAGAAATCAGAAGTCTATATGGACATCAATTAAGGATGTCTAGAAAACTATTAATTTAATTTAAAACCAGAATTTGTATAAATCACAAATATTATGTAATGTAAAAACAGATAATGATTAATACATGTTTGTTGTATGCTAAGTACACCTATGTACCAAACATTGGACCACATATATAGTGACAGTCCTGTAAGATTACAATACAACAGGATAATTCTTATCATCGAGTATTTCTACTATACCTTTTCTATGTTTAGATACACAAACATTTACTATAATGGTACAGTTGCATACAGCATTCAATACAGTAATATACTGTACAGGTCTGAAGTCCATATAACCTAGAGCTGGGTATTTATATTCTATGATATTTTCACAATGACAAAATTGCCTAATGATGCATTTCTCAGAACACATCCCCAACATTAAGGGGACATATAGACTGCAATGTGCTCAAAAATTTTATAAATTATTTCATGGGCTGGGGCTGTAGCTTTGTGGCAGAGCACTAGCTAGCATGCATAAAGAGTCACTGAGTTCGATCCTCACACCACATAAAAAGAAAACAAATTAAAAAATAAATTATTTCATTTAATTTTTGCAACAACCCTCTGAGGTACATAGAATTATATCCATTTTACAAATGAGAAAATTCAGGGTTAGAAATCCTGTTTATGTATGTGTTACACAGGAATCTGTCAAGAAAAGGAAAAAACGTTCCCCAGAGGAAAATGCACCCAAAACAAAACAATAGAAGTTTGTTTTTGTTTTTGTTTTTTTTAAGTTACTAAAAACAAAGCAGTTCAAACCACTAATAGAATACTGCCTTTAATTAGCCATACTGGAGAGGTCTTGTGCACTAGCCCTTCATCCCCTAGTGAGGAAGCGGAAAGGCACCACCCACATGGCCTGCAGAAACACATCCATGACAACAGAAAGAAAAGGACATTTTAAGTCCCCTTGAAATGGCAGCATCTTTCCTTCTTTAGCTCAACCCTCTGCCATACTGCCAAATAGTTTCTATTCAAATTAGCAGGTGGGGGTTGGTCACCTCTAACCAATCCAGGGAGGATCCAGCCATGTTGTCTTTGTCTTCCTTCCTCCCTCCCCCACTGCCACCTCCAACCAGTGAGCACAGTACTTTTTGTCAGATAAACATCCAAGCTAGCAAATTCTCAGTAACAAGTAAAAAGGTTGCCTCTCCAGAACTGATACGAAAATAAATCAAAGCCACATACTGTGGCACTTGTCTGTAATCCCAGCTTCTCAGGAGGCTCAGGAAGGAGAATCACAAGCTCAAGGCCAGCCTTAACAACTTAGGCCCTGTTTAAAAATATAAAGGGCTGGGGATATAGATCAGTGGCAGAGTGGCCCTGGGTTCAATCCCCAGTACTGGCCCCCACCCTACCCCACCCTCCGCAAAAGTTAAACACTTACAAAATTAAATCTGATGAGTTTATGCTACCATTAGTATAGAAATTCAAGTATAGATCACATATAACTGAATATGCAAAGAAAGTTAAATTATGAAACAATCAATGGTATCCTATAAAAACTAAATTAACAATGATATTGTCTGCAACCCTGTAATCAATTTTTTTTTTCCCAGCAGCTCTCTCATTACACCATGTTAGATCTGTGTGCCTGCAGAATTTACGAGAGTTCCACACATAAGGGTGAGGGAGCTCTGCCAACTGGATCCAATTCAGATCCAGCACAAATGACTTTGGCAGCACAAAGCATCATTAAGAAATAATCAATACAGTTGCTTTATGCAACATCATCTTGACTAAAAGATTTATCATCTTATACAGAATCTTCTATAACCCACATAGGATGGTATCCGAGAGTTCCACCAATCGCGAATTTATTTAAATCCTCCGTGGACATGAATACTAAAAATAAATACCGGCAGGCACAGTGGTGCACAACCATAATCCCAGCTACTCAGAAGGCTGAAGCAGGAGGATCATAAGTCAAAGGGCAGCCTTAGCAAGACACTGTCTCAAAATAAAAATGCTAATAAAACAAATGGGGGTATAACTCCATGGTAAAGCATTTGCCTAGCACATGGGAGGCCCTGGGTTCAATTGCCAGTACTACAAAACTAAATACTGGTCACCGCTAATGCTAATATAGAAAACTCATTAAAAGTAAGTGTTACGGGCAAAATTTAAAAGCCTTTCAGTGCTGAGGGCAGTGGAGCACACCTCTAATCCCAGCAGCTCAGGAGGCTGAGGCTGGAGGATCACAAGTTCAAAACAGCCTTAGCACTTAGTGAGGCCCAAAGCAACTTAGCAAGAGTCTGTCTCTAAAGCATCAACCTGAAAAATAAACCCATTCTTTAGATACACATATTCTAAAATTAGTAAAGGCTAAAGTCTTAAAAGTAAGCAGTCAAGACTGGACTAATTTGCCCCTTAGAATGTCAATATACAGCTCCAGGGATCATAATCAGATGTTTACCCCTGTTGGGTTCTATCTTCCACTGTAAATGATTATTATTTCAAGAAGTCAAGAGTTCCATAATGTGAACCCTCTTCTGGGTCCAGTGCTTGAGGAATTATGGTAACTATGTTTGCTGCAATAGTGATACAGGTATTACTCCCCATCTCTACTGTCTTGGTTGTCTCCATCTTAACACAGGGACGTCTATCCTAATGTCTCTATACTGATGTCCAGGGAATATTCTGAGGCAGTGGTCTGCAAAATAGCTTGCGTGCAATTAAACAAAATAACTACAAAAGTTGTCTATTGCCCAAGCATAAATATCTCAATTTGTTTAATCTATAAGATCCTCTGTGAACCAGCCCCACTTTGTATTCCCACCTCTACCTCCCAAGACCTACTAACCTGCGCTCTTCAGTGACATTCTGTAGATCATCTTCTTGCTGAGACTCACCAGGCACACAGCATGCGTTGTTTATATACATAGGAAGGCAGGTGCACCTGGAAGCCTTCCACTCTGCCTATCTACACCTTACTGAAGTGTCAAAAAACATACCCAGCTTCTCAATCCAACCTACCTTCACAGAACTCCTCCACAAGTGCTATATCTGGAAAACTCTCCTTTCTTAGTGCCAAGATGCTAATATTGTACACTGCAGCTGATCATGTATCGGCAGCACCTTGTACTCTGAGTATGCTGAGATGAGGAGAAGAGCACTGAAGGCTATAATTTTCTAATTCAGTACAAATTTAAGTTCTACACTTGGATTATACTTCTTTAATGATTAACAGCAGTCTTAGGTACCCAGTTTAACAATAAACACCTCTTGTTCAGAAAAGTAAGAAGGGAAAAGAAGACAAAAAAAGGAGGGATTGCTGAACTACACAGGAAGAGCCTTTATGATCTCCATCAGGAGATCCCTGTGTTCTAGGGGTGGATCACGTGAGTCACTGCATCTTGCCGCATCTTACACCTCCTGTGTAATCATCAAGACAGCAATTATCAGAATAAGCAGCTGGGAGAGGTAGAGCTTTATCCTATATCTAGCATTACCATAAAGCCTTACTGCTTCTGAACAGCCTTTTACAAAACATCCTCTGAGAGAAGAACAATCAATTTATATCCGTGAGCCATGAGTCCGGAAAAATGCACATTCCACACTTGCACTCAAACTTACCCCCTTTTCCCCCATTTCAGTTGCCAACATCCATACTCGCTGCTGATTGCCAGCTCCTGCTCCTTGCAGCAGCCCAGCATGCTCTCTGCTGGTGCCAAAATACCCTTCCACCAAACCCCACTAACTTCTGGAACTGTCCTAGAGGGGTAAGGCAAGTCCCGTATTTTGCTTCCGCTGTGCATGTACTTGTTACTCCTTTAAAAACACATATGATACAGCACATTTTTAAAGGGGCTCTGGGGAGGGAGGTAATATTCCTATTTTATACCCTATGGGATATAAAATACTGATAGCTTTTAAAAACGGGATTCTCCTTACCCCTACAGGCCCTCTCCCGGCTTCAGAAAGATGCTGTGGTGGCTGTGATGCCACCGGCAGAGAGCATGCTGGGGGGTCACACAAAGCAGGAGTTGGAGATCTGCAACAGGCCTGGGAGTTGTGGACCTAAAAAAGAAAAGAGTTTTAAGTTAACGTGCCCAATGCCCCCTCATGCCCTGGTTATTGGGGGCACTCAGCACACAAGCAGGTATCTGCAAAAATCCTTTAGCAGATGGCCTCTGAAATCTCAGAGACTTTGTTCTGTCACATTCTGCATTAATCAAAGCTGTTTCCTTATTTCCGTGTGAACAAACTTCTGGCTCCAGATTTCAACTAGGTCCTTTCATAAAAAGTATGGTGTGTGCCCCTCAAAATAACCAAGTAAAGATGTGACACAGTGCAATAGCACAGTAATAATGGCATGCTTTGCTTATAGTAAAAACAAAATATTCAGTGCTATTATGTAAATATAACAGTGAAACTAAACCACATGTAGACCAACCCAGCTTTCAGAAGAATTTCTAATGCAACATGCTGAAGCCCATATATTTAATAAACAGTCTAGGCATTATAGCAGCCAAAGAGAGAACCTGTCATTTTCTTGAAGTACTACTTTAATTTTGTAAAGATGAAGGTAAGATAAATAGACATTGGCTTAAAAACAGAGGAAAGAGGAGGACATTCAAAGTGAGATTTAATTTTCTCAAAATGCCCACAAGGTGAGGCTAATGAACAGGCACAGAGCACAAAGCTCAAGACAGTTATTTCTTCTGGGGGCAAAGCCAGTTAAACATGTACCACCTCTCTCTGTCTCTCTCTCTCTCTCTCTAAACATTGAAAACGTTTAAAACTAGAAAGAAAAAAAAAAAGATTAGAAAGCACTTCTGAAAGCTAGTATAGTCCTTCTGAGTATCAGGAAAGATGTCACAATAATAGTTTGAATATGTTCCCTTTCAAATATTCTAGAAAGCATATAAATTTTTTTAACCAACTAATCCAGTTTCATGTGGTGGTTTATAAACTTTAGAAATCTGTAAGCCAAATCCTTATACATATAAGAACCTCTGTTCTTAAAGATGGTTAAGTAATAGAAAGTCAACTTTTTAAAATATTAAATCATCAATAAGGTTCCCTGTTACATGTGATCCTTTTTGAGAAACCATCATTGTCTAAAATACTTCTGCGAACCAAGATTTTCATAAAATCCACTAACTACTATTTTTATGACTCTTAACACCACCAAGACAAATCAAGAAAATAAGCTATTAGGAATGTCTTTATCATGATCATGCTCTTTTCCTTTCTTTCTTTACAGATCACCATGTACAGTGTATCTTCAGTTCCTCATAGTAAACCTCTGCAGTTGGTCTCTGATCACCAGAGCCTCTATGACAATATCAATGATTGTCTTGTGTCATCAGAAATAGCCTCCTCCATCATGCACCTCCCTCCTCCCCCTGCTATAATTCAAATTCAAGTAAAAACTCAAGTGTGCATTTAAATGTACAATATATTTAATATTTTTCACCATAAGCATCAAAACAAAGATGAATTCCTCTTTAATGTCCTGACTAGGAATTCAATGAATCAGAATTTAAATTCAAATAAAACATTCAAATTAAAAGTTTCAAAATTTTAACACACAGTGAAGCATTTCTAAACACTTCGGCATTATTTTAAATATGCAAAAGTTCAAGAAATTATTAAAACATTTTAGGCCTTAAAATCAGAGCCTTTTCAAAGCAAATCATTGTTCTTATGAATCAGAAAACATTGACAGTATCTCAGTTTCCTAATTTTCTCTCAAGCACTTTTCCTGTTTTTTTCTGGAACTATTCTGAGTTGGTTCTTAACACAAACACCCATATATACATACACGAATTACAAATTTCCAGTTCTAAGGAGTCAAGTTTGAACAAGACTTCATCAATATTCTTGCATAGCAGATATCTGCAAAATACCAGACTGTCCCAACTTTCTTATGTGCATTGAAAAACAAAAATTAGAATATCTATAGTTTTCTGCATAAAGTTTCACATACATATAATAAGTAAATAACACTTTCAGAAAAACATTTTATAGAAATATATATAATTTAAAAAAACTAAACGACTTCTTGGAACCCTAAAATCTAAATGAATCAGGAGAAAATTAATTACCCAAATTCACAGTTTTTGTGTAGCATTAAAATTTATATTCCAGGGGCCCATCCTGCCCTGCAGCCAAGAGTAAAACCAACTGCTGAGAAACAGAGAAAAACGGAGCGTAAAAAAAAAAAAAAAAAAATAGAATGGTCTGAGATTATTTACTCCCAAAACCTCATTTTAACTTCCAGTTAAGTGAACATCTCGCTATCTATTTCTAAATTGATATCTATGAAATGCAGAAAGGATGTTTTAGTCAAAGACTCTATCAGCACTGCTCCAGTAATTGAGAGGGTATGAGGTTCAGATATCCAACAACCTTACCTTAACTATACATCCATCCAACTCAGAGCTAAGAACTTTCATTCCAACTTGTGCCTCTTAAAAGATTAAATGAAACTATAAACTTCAAATTTACAAATACAAAGAATGTTTAGTCCTTGCACTTAATAGTCTGGTGTAAACCTAGTATCCCCTTCTATTTTTTTTTTTTTAACAAGGCTAATATAAGCAAGGATGACCTTTATTTCAAACAAAGAAAAATAAAAGTATGGCCTCTAAAATTCTGGCACCAGTTCAGTAATGGACACCATTTCTTACCTTAGAAACCATGGCATACTGTACCCTATAAGTATGTACAATTAGTATGCAACAACTTAAAAAAACAAATGAAGGAAAAAAAGAAATCACAGTCTAGAGTACAACCACATGAATGCACTCACTTTTGACAGATGACAGCAACCAAACTGAAAGGACCAACTTCTTTGAAAGAAGCATCCTACTGTCCATTCATTATTTGTTTTTAAATGACAGGCAGGTCCGTGCCCCACAAAATAGAAACAGTAACAAATGTGAAAACTGTTGCTTCATCATCCAACACAACACACATACCACAAAGCTGTAACTGAGTGGTACTGAACTTTTTATAAGGCATAAAGCAAGAGGGTAAAGGGAAGGAACTACAGAAAGAAACATGGACTTCAGGCCTGTCCCAGGGATGTCAGAAACACAATCCAAACCACCACAGACCCTCAGAAGCTGTTTCTCCACCCTGAGGCTCTTCTCACAGCAGGTGGCCTTTTCTGGAGTATTCACACAAAGACTAAGCCTCATTTAATTTTGCTAAAAGCCAGTCACATTGAAAACTTAAAACAGAATATAATGACACCTAAAATATGTTATGGCAGTCATTTAAACTCCCTGAGGAAAATAAGAAACTCCTTTTTAAAAATTAGAGAAATATTTTTAAAGAAATAGGTTCATCATTTAAATACATTAAATACTACTACAGGCTAAGTAAAGGTAAATGATCAAATTTCTTGGGATTAGTCTTTCCCCCCAAAACTCTTTCATTCAACTAATATTTACTGAGCATTTACGTTTTACCAGAAACTCTTGGTAAAACAGACGAGATATTCAATAGACACAGCACTAATGCCTGAATTTTTTCAAACTACTACTACTGAAGTTTTTCAAAACTTATCCAGGGAATTTTTTTCCCACTGAAATGTTACTCAGTCAATGTTTAGTATTTAGGATGGATGTTACAGTCAAGTCAAAGTGCTAAGCACAAAATATTGATCACTGAACAGAACAGACAAAGAGCACCAACTAAATATCAACATCATGATTACTGTTATCCTTCAGGGAAGGCCCTGTGCTATATGATTTGTAAACAGCCTACCTACCTGGTGAGGTATGTCTTTTTACCCCAACTTCATATGTAAATAAAGTAAAGTTAAGTTGGTTAAGTGTCTTGCCCCAAATCATGAAAGATAGCAACTCACAGGACGGAGCATAGGAACCCAGACAGCCCAATGTTGAGTCCATCAGTTCCAGAGTTACGTATCCCTGATTAATTCTGAATTAGTTATATTCACACTAATGCAGATCTTCTCTGCCACCATTGAAAAAACACTCCAATGCAAGATTTACCTATTATTAAAATGAATGCCCATTTCATAATATGCATATAAACCATACAATCTGTGCTCCACAGTCACAATAACAAAACTGCAATTAAACAACTGTAATAGGTAATACATGTGTCTAATAAATCATTATGTATACATGTGAATGTGTACCCAAAGAGTGCTTGTTAATGAAGCCTCTACATGACATCTCCTATGTTCCTTAATTACTAAGTTTTCATTTTAGTAGAAGTAAAACAGCTTCTTGTTGCTTTTATTCCACTTCTGAGCAGCTAAATTTGGTGAAGGGAGGGCAGTTCCCATAAGCAGTACCTAGGCTGAAGATAATTTCTCTGCAGCCTCTCTTCAGCTGTACTATCAGGAAACACATGAATAAGAACTGACAGGTAACAATCGACTTTGGAGTAGGGTTGTGGGTAAAGACCAGAGATTATGGAGAAATGTTCATGTTCCCCACTCCGGCTGCTCATATATGGCAATGAAACATAGACAGGGATATGGTATTAAACCATGAATAACCTGGCTTCCACATTCATGGCAGAAATGGAGATGTGTCTCCTCCAAGGTGACTAGTGAGTGGTATATATTCTTAGCTTTTCCATACTCACAACCAGCAATGAAAATGTACTCTCTTTTGGGATGGACAGTGCAACAGCACACTCCTCCATGCATCACTGTTAACAATGCACCCAGGCAACTCAAAGTCCACTTTATAACATCCTCAATGATCTTTCTTCACTCTAAGTACTGTTTAAACCAAGTTCAATCTGAGGGATGATTTCTCCAGTTTTAATAAAATGAATCAATTGAATCTTAAATGGTATTCAAATAATTACATATTTTTCCTGAAAACTCATTTGGCCTAAGTAACAGCTGAAAAACCCACTAGGAAACCAAAATCATACTTCCTTCTAGTGTTAGAGTGATGGCAACTCAAGAATCCACATAAAACCCCATGCAGAATATTAAAGAAAGAGCTTTGATTATTGATCTATGAATAAAGAATTAGGCAGGAACTATTACAAGGAACTCCTTGATATTATACGGAATCATTCTCAGACACCATGCTCATTCCTAGATAGCAAACTAGATCTCTATTATACCTAAGACTTGAATTTTTATAAAAATAGAATTGCAGTTTTTAAAAATCTTTCTTTTAGAACAAAAAGTGAATAAATGATTTTTTCTCCACCAATACTGTTGAGTAGTCTCTTAAAAAGAACAATATTTTATACTTCTTCACTGCCCTTTATGGTCACTCAACAAAAAACACAAAGCAGGTTTTCAATAAATGCCAGTCCGAGGCACTGATGATGACCCAAAACACTCCTAATTTCATTCTGGGATAGAATACTCCTTGATAATCCTGACTCTTTCACGAACAAAATCCTCCAAGCAATCTAAGTCGCATGGTAACCCAGAAACATAGGGGAGGGCAGCAGAAGAAAGGGTTGAAAATGTCACACCAAGCCTTCAGTTGCAGTTAACATTAACAGAGATCCACTCAATCTAGTCCAAGTAAAGAGTCCTTTACAGACAGGGAGCAAAAGGATGATCTAAGAACCCAAGACAGAAGTGTCAGCCTCCTTGGGTAGTCCTCTGCTTTCACAGATGTCCTCTTGCTTACCAGTTTGCTATCTAACACTCAAGCAGTTCTTGATTCATCCTTTTAGCCTGCAACCCTGCTAACTGCCTTGGTTTTCCAAATCTAAACTCTTTAAAAAACAACAACAACAAAAAAAGTTCAATTCATCTTTTCATGACAAGCCACAAAGATCACAGATTGCCACTCCAGATTATTGTTTTAAAGAACTAAAGATTTTGCCAACTGTTTTATTATTTATGAGATAGGTGCAGAAACCTACTTTCTTGTTGATCCTTTTTTCTTCCTACTTCCCAATTAAGCACATACTGCCATCTGCTCTCTTGAGCCCCTGCTTTTAAAGACTTGTTCCATAGATAAGTTTGGTCGATGTACTCAAACAGAACCAGATCTCCTGGTTTGGAAATAAGTCAAATCAAATGAATAATTTCTAAGAGTAAGAAAGCTTCCTAATAGAACACATGATTCACTTCCCTTGAAAATGCTACCTTTAGAAACCTCTGCACAGTTAGAAATTTAATTACTCTGTACCACCATAGCCTCCACCCTCTCTGAAAATGAGTGCTATAAATATGCCTGGCAGTGCCGAGTGCCTGTATTCTGATGCTTAAATATGAATAAGGCAGGGGCCATGGGCCCTACCCCAAACAAAAGGCCCACATCTTATCATCCAAACTGAGACACTGTGGAGAGTGAAAGGGGAAACTGTTTAAATAGTCTGGCTGGGCCACTAAGTCATAAGCCAGGACAGAAAAGTAGTTTTGTTCTGTACTATAGACCCAGATTCTAAGAGAATGTAATAGCAGAGTGTAGAAGACAACCCACATCCCCACATAAAATCCAAAGGTTCTTCTTACCTCACATGTAACTAGTTGATGAAATGTTACCCAAGACCCTCAGAGTTCAATAACTTAGTATTACCCTACTGTTATGACTGGTAGAAGGTATCCCCTCATCCCCACTTCAACTCATTAGCCTTTATTCTATTAAACACTGTAAGTTTATCCTAAGACTAATCTTACCATTGGAACACTACCATAAAGAACAATCAGCAAATTCTTTTTACAATCCCCTTATACTCGAAATCTTAATCTCAAAAACCCACAATTGTAAAATGATTAATTCTCATTTTTGGTATAAACAAACACATATCACATCTCTCAGTTACAACCTACAAACCAAATTTTTGCTTTATAATAGCTAAAAAGATAAAATATCTAATTACAACATTTCAAAGCTATTGGATTTTTCTTTCATTTTCATTGCTTCATTTGCCATGTTATTTGCTATGGGCAAAACCAACTCCAATCTTTAAAATCTTGCAAAAAACAAAAGCATATTTCCTTCTGTTCATCTTTTCCCCTTATTGCTTACGTGAAGTGAAGGGAGGGAAATTCTCATCTATTTATTTATCTTTTCATTAAGAAGTATGCAGAACTACAAAAATAATAAAGTGAACATAACTACATTTTTTTCCAGGAGCAATATTGCACCATCTCCATTATTCTCATGCAACAATCACAAGTATGTACTAATACAGAATCTCAAACAAAAACACAAAAAATAGCAGTGTGTACATCCAAAAAAGGTGTCTAAACACACTACACCATACTTTCCACTTGTTTTTGCAGACAGCTTTACATGTGCTGTATTATACCAACAGCGACAACAGAAGCTTCAGCTTTTATTGCTGTTAATACCCTGAGCAATTACTGTATCTCAGCAGAAGTCTCTGCCCAGAACAGCAACTATCACACAATAATCAGCCCTTTGTAAGGGGCACTGCTCAAACATGAAGGCACTTGCTAATGTGCAAAAAACTGTACAAAGGAGCTCAGAATCTTAACAGGTAAGAGAAAAAATCTTTACAATTTTATTTCACAGCCATGTACTTTCCATGGTACACAAGCATTTGGTTTAGTAAAAAAATCACACACACAGATAATAAGCAAGAAGAGAACAGCAGCAGCAGCTACTACACCAAACTAAAACTTTTCTGGAAACAAGTCCACCTCCCAAAATTTCGGTGTCAGTGCAGTATCTGTGAAAAAAAAATTTTGTAAGGAAATATACAATAAAGAGCAAAGACCTCCGAAAATGGTAAAAAGTCATCCTGGCATGAAACTGAATATAAAACATTTAATTTCCAAGATTAAACTGCAATGCTCCTCTGAAAAACAGCAAGGGAAGTTGTAAGCAGCCTGCAAAGAGTCAATAAATCTTAGAAGTAAATGGCACAGTTGACTCTCTTCAAAATCAGTCTGCATGTGTTACTTATGTAATAACATTTTAATAAGGAAAAATATAACACATATTTGTTAGTAAACTAGATGTTTGGGTCGCTGAAGATGATAAAAAGAAACAAGGGAGATGAGGGGTTAAAGAACTTTTCAGACTATATTACTTTTCTTTAGGCTGAAATATCACATGAAATGTGTGTCAGAACACAAATACTGTTAAATTTCAATGGGTTTTGGAAATGGGGTAGTCACAGGTACTGATTAATATACATCCTCTACAAAGCAAAAGAATCAGGATATTTCTCTACCTAACAGTGCAGACAGTGGTCCACAACCTTTAAGCAAAAGGATCCCATTCTAAGATCAAAACATTTCAAAACATTCCCAAATGATACTATTTCCGTAGCATTTTCATTTATCAGGCTTTTGAAGAAAATACGTAACAGTGATTTTTAACTGCATATTGCTCATAAATTTTGAAATATCAAAATAGCATATTAATATACATGAAAAATAAGATATATAGACGCATGAAGTGCATTTATATACATAAGATTGAGGATGCTTAATTTGCAGACATGTGCAAAAATCTTTCAACATCCAGGGATCCAAAAACAAAATTGTGGAAACCACCAGGCTAAACCCAAGAGACTTCATAATAGGGAAGAGGCACCAGCTAACATTCTTGGTGGGAAAGTCCCCATTGAGAAAGGACAATAGCTGGACCATGCATGATGCAGACTTCTTCTAACAACCTTTGGGAGGGCTGGGGATGTGGCTCAAGCGGTAGCGTGCTCGCCTGGCATGCGTGCGGCCCGGGTTCGATCCTCGGTACCACATACAAACAAAGATGTTGTGTCCGCCGAAAAAACTAAAAAATAAATATCAAAAAATTCTCTCCCTCTTTCTCTCCCTCCCCCTCCCCCTTCTAAAAAACAACAAACAACAACAACAACAACAACAAGAACAACCTTTGGGAAAGCCCAAAACCAGATTCAAAGTACACTCCAGACCCACCAAAATGTCACAGAAATATATAATTCTTCACAAGAAACTTGTCTCTGGCTCATTTGTATTCTTTTTCCTAGTTGTTAATTCCTAAATTTACCTCAGACTATTAATAATGGCAAAAGCAAACTATTCCAGAAACTCAAAGAGTATCTCTGAAATTGTCAGAACAGCTACTAAAAGAATAAATACTTCAGACATATTGTTTACAATATAAAAACATGATCACACCATGTCGCAAAACTGAAAAGATGAAACTAGCAACTGCCTTGTTGACTGCTTCCTGTCAAGGGTGAGGGCAAAGACAGAGAGAGCAATGGGGCTGGCCACAAGAGGCTCAGAGCAGAGGAGGCACAGTAAAGCATGCTTACCAGTTTGAAGTCTTGAATGCTACAGATGAAATACGGTGTGTTTGGCCTCCGACTCTCGATATACACACAGTCTTTAAAAGAAAAAGAAAATTTAAAACAATGGCATTTACCTTTAAGGGAACAAAAGACAGGGCCCATAAAAGGCACTGCATAAATAAATGACAAAGCGCATACCTTTCATAGTAAAAATTTCTTTTCAAAGGCAATATTAAATTATAAATAACTTCAAGCTAAAGGAAAACTGCCCTTTGGTTCTTTTTGACAACCTTCTTGATAATTTAAAGAACCTGATTTTTTTCAGGGAAAGGGGGATCCCACAGGACTATCCATATCCACATGAAGAAGTTTAGAAAAAAGGCATTACTTGCTCAAGATTACACAGCAAAGGGGCTGGGGTTGTGGCTCAGTGGAAGAGGCGCTTGCCTCACACATGTGAGGCACTGGGTTCGATCCTCAACACCACATAAAACTAAAGAAAATAAAAGATATTGTGTCCATGCATAACAAAAAAAAATTTTTAAAAAGATCACACAGCAAGTCAAAATTGTAAATAACTTATTCAGATAGATGTTCTCACATTCACAAAAATGACTTTGCCAAGAGCTACTTTATTCTCAATAAACATTTTGAGGAAAGAAAAAAAATTTCAAAAAATTTCAAAGAAAACCACTTGAATATGCTATTACAATGATCTTTTCATTTAAATCACAAAAAAGAAAACTAATTTAATCTCTTGTGGATAACTATTATATATTAACATAAACATAATTTATTTTCTAACTGTAAAGAAAAACATGGCCACCAATCAGAGATGGAATAAAGTAAACCAAATTACATTTTCTTCAGGGAAAAAAGAGTACTTTCTTAAACTGCATTTGATATGGCAATGGTTGGGTAATTATTTACTCTCAACAGCGAGAGTAGACCCAGATCCAAGATGGTGGGCTAGAATGAGGTTGCATTCTGTGTCTCTCTGTGACCTAGGATTCTGGTAGAGGGGATACTCTTTCTCTGCGAATTATTAGAGGATCCCCCCATCCCGAAAGCTGCTCCATCACAGGTCTCCAGACCTCAGCTCAGAGTCAGCCCAGGACTCCCGGCCGCCCACCCACCCAGGACCGCTGGCATCAACACCTGTGTGGGACTTGGCTGCCCACCGATGCAGGATACATGGCCACTGCACACATGCAAGGCCACCACTCCTGTATGAACCCCCATCTACCAACATGGGGCTTCCCCAGTCACCTCCATCTTGGAACACTGCAACAACTGTCATACTGCCCAACTCGGGGTAGCCTGCACCTGGGGACACAGGACAGGGTCTGGAGACAGCTGCCAGTGACAATACTTCATGCCACACAGCTACATCTCTGAAAATGCCACCCAACGCCACAACCCGGCCCAACCCCACCCAACAACCCATCTCTGAAAACAGCCACCTCCATCTTGGGACACCTTTGACGCCATCTTTAGTTGGGGCAACTCCCAGCTTGGGATACCTGCTGGGGCCTAGAAGCAATATCAAGGTACCTCTAGTCCCCAATTCCTCCCTCTCCCTTGTAACCGCTAATCTGGAACAGTGTTTGTGGGCCACCAGGCCAGTCCATAGCTCGAAAAGCCCAGTCGTGAACTGCCCAATACAAAACAGCTCTCCGCTGCAGGTGCACAGCCCCCGGTGCACAGCCCCCAGAGCGCAGCCCATAAAAACCTCCAGAGAGAGAGATTCATGATAAGGAAGCAGAAAGGAAGGTGGTGTAAGTGAGATACAGTTTAAAGAATAAATGAGAGACCAGGAATTGTGAGGTCTACAGGCAATATAACAAGATAAGACCAGGAACCCATACCACTGAGTCACATGAGCAGCCCCAAAGGAGATCCTTGGGGTGTAGCCTCCCAACAGGGATCAGCAAGTGCTATATCCCACCTCCAGGAGCTCCGCCCCCAAGACCAACCCTCCCACCCTAATAACCTTCACCATCCTGAGGGTGGAGATAACCAGGAAACAACAGACAACCCCACCTTTAGATGAGAAGGGAAGCAGGAAAGATATTGAACTCCAACAAAATCAACAGCTGGAGTAGAAAAGGTTTTTTCTTTTTTTTTCTTTTTTTTTTTATGGCATCTTAAGATTTAAAAAAGGAAAGCAATACCTATAGAAAGGTAAAATCCTTCCACATTACAACTGACGATCATCATAAAGCTTAGGACAAGAAAATGTACAGAATATTTACTGAGAAGGAAAGGTATGAGAGTCAATCAAACCTCCTAGGGAGACTGCTCATAATGCCATGATGAAAATGCCATTTGTTTTATCCTTTCTCCTGACCCTTCAGAATGTTCTTAACAATTGGCAAATTCCTCTACTGCCTCATTTTCACACATGTTAGGAGCCAAGAAAGAGAAAGAAGCAACTGTTTGGAGCCATCTCTTGTCCAGTGGAGAGTTCAGTCCACCAGAAACTCCACAGAGAGTCAGATCACGAGAAAGCCCTCTCTGTAGAACACACCTTTCCAGGAAACTATGTGCAGGACTTCAGGATTTTGTGTCCAAAGGTGATTTGCGATGAGAACATGGAGAAGGATGTTGATGTGGTGGTGGTGGAGGAGGAGAGAGAAGAAGAAGAAGAAAGGAGGAGGAGGTGGAGGAGGAGGAAGGAGTGGGTAAGAAAGAAGACAAAGGAAGAAGGAGAAAGAAGAAGGAAGAAGAGGAGAAGGAAGGAGAAGAAATAAAAACTGAATGTCAACTATTGTTTTGTTTTGTTTTGTTTTTTGGTACCAGGGATTGAACTCAAAGGCACTGGACCACTGAGCCACATCCCCAGCCCTATTTTGTATTTTATTTAGAGACAGGGTCTCACTGAGCTGCTTAGTGCCTCACCTTTGCTGAGGCTGGCTTGATCCTCCTGCCTCGGACTTCTGAGTCACTGGGATGCGCATGCATCACTGTGTCTAGCCCGAATTCCCCAACTGATTTCTCTCCTCAGAAGCAAACTCAACAGACTTAATCCCTGAATCCATGCACAACATCAGCTCAGAAATGAGTTACTGAACTTTCTATCTTAATCTGGGTCCCAGAAGCTCAAGAAAAAGAAAAAGAAACTCTGCTTCAACATTCAGTCAACATCTTCTTAACAAGCCAGAGGCCTCTTCCCACCAGGGTAAACTTTGTCTTCACACCCCTAATATAATATTCAAGTAAAAACAGAATTCCCTATATAAAAACTATAGCTCCAACTTACATGACATCGGGATGACCCAAGTTCTTCATATCTGTGCCCCTCTGGCCCCTCTTGTACCCACTCCCAGCATTTCAAATCTCTAGGTATCAGTTATATAATTCTTACTCAACCTAAACACAAACCACAATCTACAATGTCCTCTTCTTCCAAGCACTTCCTATGAAAAGCTATCTTTTTCAATTTCATGACAGAAAATCATCCTAGCCTAGCTACTATTCACTGGTTTCAACATGAATAATGAATAGGTCACTTTCAAACTAATGATTTCCACCTTTTAAAGTTCAAGTGACAAAAGTAATTTGCTGGGATTTGGGAGACAGCTCAGTTGGAAGAGTGCATGCCTTACATGCACAAGGTCCTGGATTCAATCCCCAGCACCACAAAAAAAAAAAAAAAAAAAAAAAAGAAAAGAAAGAAAGAAAAAGAAAAAGAAAAAAGAAGTAATTTGCTGATTTCAATGACTCAGTCCCATGCAAATAAATGCCACCCTCTTCCCCTGGGCTACATTCTCCAAAAGAACCATCAACTCCCATGTCCCATCTGTGCCAAACTGTCTTTCATCCTTCATTCCACCACCTTCTGGTCATACCAACCTCACAAATAACACCTCCCTTTTTTATATAACATCAGCAATTCACATTCCCTGTTTGTTCAGTTATTTGTTCACCATAATGTGGACAGTGAAGGGCATACAACTCTGATCTCAATCTTACAGAATCTGAAAACTCATGTTTCCATTCCCTATACCCACCAAGAAGCCATTTCTAACATTAGCGTGAGTAAAGTAAGACAGGACTGAATTAAACAACAGATGCTTAAATAGTGAGGACTAGGTACAAATTTGTCATTATTTTACACAGGAAAAAGCTTTATATTTTTTTTCATAATCAAGAACCTTTTTTTTTTTTTCTTATTTCCCCTCTTATTGTGAGACATAAAGCAGTTATGAGCTGGTACATAAAAAATCTTCCAGAGAAGCTATATTCTTTAATTTCTTACTGCAAAGTGACATTCAAGGGAATGATTACCTATAAATTATACCAGAGGGTAAATTCTGTTAAGAGAAGGAAGGAAAGGAACCTGCTGCTGGCCTATCAAAGGCAGCCCCTGATCTCTGCTTGCTAAACTCTTCTCTGCACTCTTACACATGGAGGACTGCTGCCTGGAGAACAGGAAGAACAAGAGCCCATCCTCAAACCTGGCATTTTGAATAATCACAATGACTTATCAATGCCTTCCTTGCACCTAGATTAAAAAACTATCTTTTTTTGTTTAAAAACTACCATGGCAACCCAAAGTGATCCAAAAAGATGATCTCGTCAGATCTCAATATACAATCTGCAAAAACAGTAACTGTGTCAAATCATATCTACCAGTGCTTTGAAATATTAAAAAAGTCAGATAATCTCACTACAAAATTAAGTGACAAAACTTAAGAGTTTATTTGACATAAATAGTACTAAATCACAGATGAGAGATGGTATGAGCTAAAATCTTTGAAGCTATGCCAACATACCATACAAGGCAGGGAAAGGGGGCTGCACTGTTTTGACCTGATTTCTCTCATTTACTTTTTAAATAAAAATACGAAATTACTGTAGAGACATATTTTTCTTCCCACAACCTTCCTACAAAAATTAGGGTATGGTGGGGCTCACCTATAATCCTAGTGATTCTGTAGGCCAAGGTTGGAGGGTACCAAGTTCAAGGATAGCCTCAGCAATTTATAAAAATTAAAATTAAAGGGGCTGGGGTTGTGATTCAGTGGTAGAGTGTTTACCTAACATGTATGAGGCCCTGGGTTCAATCCTTAGCACCACATATAAATAAAGT